TATGGCAACAGGTTGTGCTCAATAAAATGTGTACTTACAATAGCATCTGAGATCTGTAAAAGTGTTAAGAACCCCCATAACTTTCCCAGTAAGAATGAGGGACTTAACATGTTTGGAAAAGTTAGCAGCCAGGCACCCAACATCTCCGGAGCAGTCATGGGTGCCCTGTACAGAGGGGGGCTTGTGAAGAACAACATACAGGCCCTTCCCGAGAAAGCCTCATTATAAAACCTTTGAGGAGCGAGGGAAGGGATCACATCTGGGCTTCCCATGTCTCCAACTATGCCATAAGGTGCTGAGGTGGGAGACTTCAGGTTTACCCTGAGTCACTGAGGACCAGTGCATCCCTGCCAGGTGTGAAGTTTGGGGTAGGAATTTCCTTCCCTTGGAAAACCTTGCAGTATTTACTCTCCTTAGCAGAGAAGGAAGCACCTCCAGAAAATATAAGTTTAAAGGGACTGTCATTCTGTTTATTAGAGACCTCGACAGCCCACGATACATCAAAGAGATGCATCCCTACATTTGCCCAGCGGTTCAGAGTGTTTCTGAGGTCTGTTTAAACACTAATAGAATTTTAGGCCAGCATCCAGTCAAAACGGATGGTTCACAGACTCAGATTCTTGGAAACAGATAAAAAACAACAGAAGTCAACATATAAAACAATGATATAGTTTAGTTTAGAAAAAAATAATCACGCATAAAATTACAGCTAGAAAAAATTCACACATAAAAAAGAGTGTTTGCATAGCTCCCACTATTACTGCCCTACAACCTGGCGGCAAAATATAAACTCAGGCGCATATTTTATAATAAACATGGTATTGAACACTAATAATTCTATACTGTAGAACATCTCTCGAGGTGATTTATCTCCTTGCTTAGGCGAATGAAATTCCAAACCTTTCTCTTCTCACATATAAAAACACTTGAAACAAGCAGCTTCTGTTATTAGCAGGCTCCTCATGAGAAACGCTTGTGAATCCACAAAGATGAGTACTGTGACAACAACACAATACACACCCATCCCCTTACTTCACAATCCCAATAAAGCCCACTCTACTGTTGAGTTTTCAGTGTAAACCAAGTCTGTCTAAAACATCTCTTCTGGTCACCAAGCCTTGCCACTAGAAGAGTACTCATCACTAAACAAATGCCATCTTAGACTGATAGATAGTCTCACAGCTGGTTTGTTTTTCCTTCCTTAAACGTTGTACTGTAGTTAGCTTCTGCTATACTCTTATTCATTTCCTCAAAGTCCCAGCATTGAGCAGCATTGGACTTTTCCCTCTAGATCTTGCTATAAAGTGAGCTCTCCCCCAATTCACATATTATCCTTCCCCCAAAGGTTGCACTTTATTCTCAAGAGAATACTCATTGCTCAGAACCTTGGAGTTGGACGGAATCCTCAGGTTCCTGTGGCTCTGCCCACCCTGCGCTGGACAGTACGGACAGAACTCTTTCCTTCTCAGGAAGTCTGATGACTTCATATTCAACATCAACTTCAAATTCCAACTGATAAGCTCTGGGGGAGGGTAAGTGGGGACAATAAAGAGTACAAAGCATTCTCTCCCTTTCAGCAATTTCTATTGCCGTGATTCTCCTGACTTTTAGACTTCTGGATTTTTTAAAATAAAAATCTCAGACAGGGATTTTTGTTTTTGTATTTTAGGGCAAGTTGTCTGAGGAGGGCTTGCCAGTAGAATTCTAGAGACTATTAGTGCCCAAGAAGCAAGAATTTTTCTTTTTTAACTCACTTTATTTATACATGAGGTTCTGGTCATGTTTAACAGGAACCACAAAGACTGTGTGCTCTTGTGACCTTCCCCACTGTCCTCTCACATAAACCATAATATCAGAGATGTGTACCATTTCAATAGCTCCTTCCCTGTCCTTTTACACCTTCCATTTCCTTCTTTGTCTTCCCATTCCAACGAAAGAAGACCACAGATGTTGGCTTCTTCTGCATTTCCCTAAACATCTTCCTCGATTCTGCCCTGTTGTTGTTGTTATGTGCTGTTGAGTTGGTTCTGACTCATAGTGACCCTGTACAGGGTTTCCGAGGCTGTAAATCTTTAAGGGAGCAAAAAGCCTCATCTTTCTCCCGTGGAACAGCTGGTAGTTTCGAACTGCTGACCTTGCAGTTCACAACCCGATTTGTAACCACTACGCTACCAGAGCTCCTTGACTCTGTCCTATAAGACCTCTAATAACTCCAAAGCAGCCGCAGGGAGCCCAGCTACGCCATCTTAGTAAATGTCTTAGAATATGGTAACCCTGTCACTTGGGGCGGGAGTCTCTGAGTGGTGTAAACTGTGAAAGCATTTGACTATTAACCAAGGTTAATGGTTTGAGTTCACCCCTAGGTACTGTGGAAGAAAGTCCTGGTGATCTCCTCCTGAAAGGTCACAGCATGAAAACCCTTGGGAGGGCAAGACTCCTCTGAAACACAGGGAGTGGCCGTGAGTTGGAATCGACTCTCTGGCAACTGCTATCACTTGGGGGCGAGGATCAATGTGCCCAAATGTACTCTGTTGCCTGTAGAATGAAACCAACTGCATTGCTGATAATCCAAATGAGACTGTTTTGTGGTGACTGTCCAAAGCAGGCAGTACTGCTGGGACTGAAACCTGAAGATGCCAAGGAGTTCCACATACTTGATCAGCATGAAGGGGCAGAGGTCATGACTGGTGGGAAATCGTGGAGGCCCAGCCCCTAAACTAACAATATTACCCAAAGTCAAAGGTTCTAGAACTCGCAAACCAACAGCAGATCCAGCTTCACCCCACATCCTCAGGGAAGCTGTGAAGTTTGAGAAAACAGGGATGCATCATGGAAGAGCTAGCTGTTTACTGGGGAGCGTGGTGGCTCTGTGCAAGATGTACTGGCGTGTGAACCACAAGTTTGGCAGTTAGAGCCTACCAGCTGCTCCTACAAAGATTGGTAGCCTTGGGAACGCTATAAAGGGTCGCTGTGAGTCAGAACCGACTTGATGGCACACTAGTTTACTGTTTACTGACTAGTCCAAGCCGTGCATTCTGAATGTAAAATTGGTTCCTGTGGGGACAAAAAACCCACAACAACCTTAGATATTATGATGGTTTGTGGCCCTTCAAACTTAGCCCTACCTACAAAATCCTTAATATGAATTTCAATATTAAATTGTCTTCTTACGAGTGTGACACTGAAAAAAAAGAGGAGAAACACTTGTCAAGGTACAAGTGTTGCAATGTGAGGAGACCTGAACTGGGATTCACTGCACTCTAAAGGCTGGATAACAACTGAGATTGTCCATTATTGAGGGGAGACGGGTGTGAAGAGCTTGTCCCCTGCCTTGTTTTAATACATGTTTAACCATCTTCTCCCTCTCAAGGTTCAATCCCTCAGACACACTGTTCTTCAACATGGGCATGAATCAAGTTCCTATTTTTGTTTCACATGTTTCCAAGAGCATGCAAAATGGCAACTTCTTTTACCCTTCCTCCCTCAAAAAAAAAAGACAACTCCCAAACTATGTACAACGTTGTAGAAAAGCAATGTTCTATAAAAAGTAAAAAACAAAACATCTTCCACTCTCCCAGGAATATTTAACAATTTAACTCAGAAGTCCTGAGATTTTCATCCTTTGCCTCCCAAGATCCCTCGGGGTACATTTTAACTACCCAGCCCCTCAGCCAAGATGATGAACTCAGGTATCTTCTGTCCCTATGTGGCAGAACCTCCAGACTTTATTTCATCACCCTTGTAAGAAACCCTAGCCCTGGTTGACTAAGTTTTAACATTAGCTGTGAAGCAAAGCAAGCACACCAGGAGCTTGTCACAGGGAGCAGTAAGTGGTAGTAGGCTTTTAATTGGCTGATACCTAAAACCTGCCGCACAAACCCTGCACCTGGGCTCCTCCAGTGAGGTACACCTGCACAGGAAGCTACTAAGGAAGCCCAAACAAGTCAGGAGTAAGGAAGGCTTTGCAGCTTTGCAGAATTTGACTAATTCTCTCTTTTCTGCAGCAAGACCACTTTTGGGATTGTCTTGAACTGTCCTTCAGTTTCCCTACATGAGCTACATAGAACACAAAAGGGAAAAAGGCACAGGCTTTGAAGCAACTCCAAAGAGGGCCCTGTTCCCCTAAAAAGGAAGCCGGAAACAAAATGAAGACTGCTCCCAACATTTCTCCTCACTCTGTATAGTGATGGAAAACTCACAAGCAAGACAGACACTGCCTACGGGACAAGGTAAGGTCTTGTCAGAAAGAGTGCTGTGTGTTTTCTGAGGTAGACTACTGTGTGGTATCTTTGTAAGAGGAGGCGCTAAGCACCAGGCAGGGTATATAGCTGGTAGACCTTTCTCTGCCTTTTCCAAACACACACAAAATCAAATCCCAAAGTCCAGGAATTTCTCATACATAGCTGGAGTTGTTCTTTCTGTATATATATATTTATGTGTGTGTGTGTATATATATATATATATATATATATATATATATATATATACACACACACACACACATTCACATTGTAAACAAAGAGTGTTCTATCTTGTATTCGAGTTTTGCGTTTTTCTCCCGCATCTCTAGGGAACTACAGAGGAGTTTCAGTGGACATACAGAGAATTCCATTTTCACTGATGAAATAAAATGCCTGCGCCGACAGTCTTCCTGGCAAACAGTTAGGAAGAAAAAGTTTATTTACAGTATTTCTGCTTTTTCATACCAGTTCTTCTTGAGCAGTTCATATTCTTAAACTCCCAGTCAGCAATGGCACCTCTGTTTTCCAATGTCTTCCCGGAGTTCCGAGCCAATTTAGAAATGTATGGAGGAGCCCTGGTGGTATGATGGTGAAGCTAACCAAAAGGCTTGTGGTTCGAGCCCACCAGCCTCTCCACTGGAGAAAGATGCGGCAGTCTGCTTCCACAAAGATTTATAGCAGGGGAAACCCCATGGGGCAGTTTTATGCCGCCCTGTAGGGTTGCCATGAGTTGGAATTCAACTCCACCTTAATGGGTTTTGTTTTGCAAAAATGTACACTATTTACAAAAGTAGCGTCCAAGCTCTGTATTCCCATCTATCCAATCATTGGGGGCGTTCTGAAGTGCTCTCATGTGCTGGGAGTCAGAACTTGAACAAGTTGATAAAGTCCTGGGGTGAAAGTGACACGGAGCAGTTCTCGGGGTTATTGGCCGTGCACGGATGGTCAGTGCCCTGGAAGGGAACAGTGAGATTAGTTTTGAGCTCTCAAAGCCATCTTATGCCTTTTAGTATCACAAGGCACTGCCCAACCTCAAAACAACATTCCTTGTTCAAGAACGTCGAAGGGCTGGGGAAACTCAAGAGCTCTGTCTGTGTACACAGAAATCGGAGAATTTGGGAGTGGGCGAGACTGTGGTGGCTCAGGGATAGAATTTTCGTCTCCCATGCAGAAGACCTAAGTTTGATCCTAATGCACCTTAAGCTCAGGCACCACCTGTCTGTCTGTGGAGGCTTGAGTCACTGCTGGGTAAAACAGCAAAGCTTACAGACTAAAAGAGACTAGGACAAAAAAGGCCTGCTAATCTACTGCCCTAAATCAGCCAATGAGAACCCTGTGAGTCACGGGGTTCTGATGTGCAATGGATAACGGGGAGGGTACCAGTGTTTCTTTGTGTGGTGCACTGAGGGCCCATGCAAAGACAGTTAACAACAACAAGTTACAGGAAGAAAGACGTTTTCTGGAATTAGATAGCGTATGGTGTTTGAAAGTCCCTCACCAGGGCCAGAAGCAGAGGGCTCTCTCGTAAGGATTAATGGGAAAGGATTTGGTGGTACAGCCTGAGGGGTGGCTCTGAGGGTCTGTAGCTGCCACCTCTGAGACACATACCTTCCAGGAAAGAATATGACAGTGTCTGCAGAGTTGAAGAGTGTCTCCATACTGCTCTTTCCTTGGGTAACATCGGACAAGCTTAAAATACATCTTCTTCCAATCCAGCTGCCCTTTGTCCGACAGAATTAATCGCTTGCGGATCTTAAAAAAAAAAAAAATCAAATGACTAAAAGTCATTGCAGTGGAATCAATCCTTCAAGATGTGGTTTTCTGGCTTTGAAATTTTCTGCCTCTGCCTGCTGTTTTCACCCAGTTACATAGTAACTTTTAACCAGTCTTTAAAAGAAAGAGGTGACTGGTCACATCTTACTACAATGAGTTTGGGTGGCCCTTAACATTTAGATGATCTCAGCAAATAATTTCAATCCTTTTGACGTTATAGACAGATTTCCAAGGAGAAGTGGAAACTGCTTGGCACCATGGCTCTGCTTTATATCTAAATATTACCAGCCTTGTCAATAGAACTTGTTGAGCTAACCTATCTGTATAAAGAAGCTGAAAGAAAAACAAACAAAACAACAACACACAAAAAAAACCAAACAACCTTTGAGGCAATGTGACAAAAGGAAATAATCTGAGGTTGGTGTCACAAGGGCCAAATTCAAATTCAAGGCCAGTTTCCTTAACCAGAGGACCACTCACAACAATTTGGAAATACCACTTAAGCCACCTGTGGGCCCAACGGCACCTTCTTTCAATGGGTTGTCAGAATAAAATGAAACAATGTCTGTAAAAGCATATTACCTGTAAAGTTTTGAGCAAGTTATGAAATATGAATATGACTTCTGTTTATCAACACACAGAAAACACACTCACTTGTTATTTAGAAACTCCTTGGTTTTTCATTCCTAGTTAAGCCAGAAGCCCTGCAGGGTGGGCACCCAGATGGAGGTGCAGGAAGCTTCAGGGAAGGAACAGGGAGGGAGAGCAGCAAGGATCATCAGACCCACCAACCTGTCGCTCGGTGAAGTGGTATTGGCATAGTCTCTTCCACAGCAGCCGGTCCTCGCTGAGTGTGTGCAGGTCAGGGGCTGCCTGGCCCAGGCTGACCAGGTCACGGCCATCGCTCAGCCTCTGCATGATGTTCAGTTGTAAACATAAGGGCAGGTCGGTGAAGGTGAGGCCTTTGAAGGCGGGCTAGGAGGAAAAGGATGGTGGTAAATTGGGGGTGGTAGGTAGGGAGAACGGCAACTTACTAGGTGCCACCCTGATAGTGTAGTGGTTACACTTTGGGCTGCTAACTGCAAGGCCAGCAGTTCAAACCTACCAGCTGCTCTGCAGGAGAAAGTGAAGGTTTTCTGCTCCTGTAAATATTTACTACATTGGAAATCCTATTGGGGAACGTCCAGCTATATGGTGGTGGGTGGTGGTTACATGCCGTGGAGTTGTTCCAACTCATAGCGATCCTGTATAGGGTTTCTGAGGCTGTAAATCTTTACAGGAGCAGAAAGCCTTACCCTTCTCCCGCAGAACAGCTGGTAGTTTCAAACTGCTGACCTTGCGGTTCGCAGCCCAATTCGTAACCACTATGCTACCAGAGCTCCTTGAAGACCCTCAAAATCACATTGGTGGTGGTGTGCTGTGGAGTCGGTTCCAACTCATAGTGACCCTGCACAGGGTTTCCGAGGCTGTAAATCTTTACAGGATCAGAAAGCCTCATCTTTCTCCTGCGAAACAGCTGGTAGTTTCGAACTATCCCGACACATAACCACTGTGTTACCAGAGCTCCTTAGACATCACATTGTTGTTGTTAAGTGCCATCGAGTTGGTTTAGACCCATAGTGACCTTGTATATGGTTTCTGAGGAGCAGCTGGTGAACTTGAACCACAGACCTTGCAGTTCAAACAGCTTTGAAGCCTGGCACATTAACCCACAGCGCCATACCAGGACTCCACACTAGGTGGGAGTTAATTGATTGTTTGACCAAATATGTTGTTGTTGTTGTTATGTGCCGTGGAGTCGGTTCCGACTCATAGTGACCCTGTACAGGGTTTCTGAGGCTGTAAATCTTTACAGGAGCAGAAAGCCTCAGCTTTCTCCTGAGGAACAGCTGGTTAGGTGGGAGTTAATTAATTGTTTGACCAAATATAGCAGGCTAATTTTTAAGCTGACAATTTTGTATGGCCTGCAAATGATGTTTTAAATTTTGGCAGAAGAAAGATTCCCCACCCCTGCTACATAGGTCGGAATTGACTCCAGGGCACAACGCCCTCCACAGACAGAGGGGGATCACCTTTCCTTTCCACTGGAGGTGACGTGGAGAGTGCAGTGGAGGGGCAAGGAGCACGAAGGCATTCTGGGCTGTTTTAGGAAGTCTGGACTCAGTGTCCCCATGTGCAAGCAAAAAGATTTTAGGAGACTCTTGATGATCCCTCTTTGCTCTAACGGTCAGTCTGGAAGCAGCTTCAGCCCTCTGTTTAGTCAGAAGTGTCTGACTTGACAATTTATGCTGCTCATTCTACCTCAAGGAGCCCTGTTAGTAACGACAGCTAAGCGCTCCGCTACTAACCCACCCAGCTGCTCTGCAGGAGAAAGACCCGGTGACTTGCTTCCACAAACACTGTTGTTATGAAGCTCCATCAGGTGGGTTGCAACTCAAGGCAACCTTGTATAGGATTTCCAAGGCTATGTAAATCTTTGTGGGAGCAGAAGGCCTCAATATTTCTTTGGTGGAGTGACTGGTGGCCTCGAACCGCTGACCTTGTGGTTCGCAGTCCATTGTAATTGTAAAGATTACAGGCAAGAAACCCTTAGGAGCAGTTCTCCTCTGTCACACGAGGACACTATGAGTGGGAATTGACTCCACAGTCCTTAACAATAATGGTTCTACCTCAGGATGCTAGGCTGAGCTTCCCATTGTTTTCAGAATTTAGGATTTTACCGGACCTCCGAAGGGCCAAGACTTATTTGTTGGTTATCATCTGCTGCTGATCATATGAGCTAATAAAACTGCCACAAGACTTTCTTTTTGTTTCCAACACTTCAAAGCATCTACTTTTTTGGTTAAAACTCCCAGGCTGATTATTCCATTAACTTCTATTAAAGGCAAACCCTCTTGGCTGAGTGCACACCATCAAATTTGCAAACCTGAAATCCTTGCCCAGATCCCATGCGGAGCCTTAACTCCTGATAAATGGTTAACTGCTTGCATGCCTTCTTCTTTTTGCATATAAACATATTAAAGAAAAATTAGTCACTCTTATGCTTCCAGTCAAGCATTTGGCTAAAATCCATTTATGTTCAGCTCTGGAAGTGTAGTGGTTACGAATCGGGCTGCAAACCTCAGGGTCAGCAGTTCAAAACTACCAGCTGTTCCTTGAGAGAAAGATGAGGCTTTCTGCTCCTGTAAAGATTTACAGCCTCGGAAACCCTGTACGCGCTTGCTATGAGTCAGAACCAACTCCACGACACATAACAACAACAATAACACAGACCAACACGCTTCCAAACACTGCCTTTCACTCAGTACCCTGGAATTCTACTGAATTTTCTTTTCCACAAATTTGTTCTCTTAATTTATTTCTTTCACTATGTTAATTATTTTTGACCAAAAAAAAAAGGATTAGATACGAACAGTTTGGAGCAAAAGACAATACGTATTGAGAAGATACTGATACAACGTGGGCAAATAGCAATGACTATAAATGTCACCTTAATGTTTTCATGTAAAAAAAAAAAAAAAAAAAAACAGTAACAAAAAATCCTCTTTTGAGGTCTTAACTGTTAAAGAATCAGTTTAAAATACAATCCAGACGGAAGCAATTAAGTCCCCTAGCTGGTTCTTTCTTTCCTCTGAGAGGCAGGGCCTTTGTGTGCAAAACTCCCCAGAGCTCCATGAGTTCCTTCTGGTTGTTAAGTGCTATGGAGTCAGTGTAGATCCTAACGACCCTGTATAGGGTTTCTAAGGAGCAGCTGGTGAGCTTGAACCGCTGACCTTGCAGTTCAAGTTGACATTGCAGTCCAGTGCATTAGCCCACAGTACCACACTAGGAGTTACTACTGCTGCTCTCAAAATACTGTCCCTCAGAGGCAGGGGGGCTGGAAAGGGAGGAGGGTCTGAGGAAGTATGGTGTCAAGGTCAAAAGCATCGTCCCTGGATACAGGGTGGGTTCAATTCCCCAGCTACATCTTACGAGTCATGAAGCTTTGACCAGATAATTCTTTATTACCCCGTCCCGTTTCATTTTCTTTTCATCTATAAAATGGGGGGAGTGTGGTGCTGCAGGATAATGCACTGGACCTCAAGGTCAGTTGGAAATGCAAGGTTGTCAGTTCAAACCCACCAGCCATTCCTCGGAAACCCTAGTCAGGGTCACTATGAGCTGGAACTGACTCGATGGCACTTAACAACAATGTAAAATAATGGGGAGAAAGCGTATCTTCTCGGCACAGCGGATGAGATCTTGTATGTGTGTATTTTTGACTCATAGTCATTGCCTTTGAGTTGGTTCCGACTTACAGTGACCCATGGGATAGAGCAGAGCTGCCCCACAATCCCCTAAGGCTGTGGCTGTGATCTTTAAAGAAGCAGACCACCATATTCTCCTACCAAGTGGTTAGCGGGTCTGAACCACCGACGTTTGGTTAGCAACCAAGTGCTTAACTGCTGTGCCACCAGAGCCCTCTGGTAGTACAGTGTTCCCCCAAATATTAGATATTATTACGGTTGGTGGTGGTTATGTGTCGTGGAGTAGGTTCTGACCCATAGCGACCCTGTACAGGGTTCCCGAGGCTGTACATCTTTATGGGAGCAGAAAGCCTCATCTTTCTCCCACGGAACAGCTGGTAGTTTTGAACTGCTGTCCTTGCGGTTTGCAGCCCGATTCATAACCACTACGCTACCAGATATTATTATGAATACCATTAATTATTCACTAGATGAGGTGATACTTGTAAAGCACACAATAGTGTATCTGCCACATGTTGTTGTTGTTAGGTGCCATCAAGTCGGTACCTTATGCACACAGAATGAAACACTGCCCAATCCTGGGCCAACCTCACTATTGTTGCCACACTTGAGCCCACTGACGCTACCACTTTGACAATCCATCTTGCTGGGGGTCTTCCTCTTTTTCTCTGACTACATAGAAAGCCCTTAGGAACAACTAGTGAATACACTTAAAATACTCTATGCCAGGTATTATCCTAAGCACTTCCTATCCATACTGTACAGTTACCAAGACTCACACCAGATCTATGAGGCATCATTGTCCCTGATTTCTAAATGAGGAAAGTGAGGCATGGAGAGGTTGAGTAATTCGCCCTACGTCCTACACCTGGTAAATTCTCATTGCTGCTGCTGTTACTGTTAGAGCTGTTGAGTCCATTCTGACTCATAGTGACCCTGTATAGGGTTTCCAAGGAGTGGCTGGTGAGTTTGACCCGCCAACATCATCCATAATAATCCACTGTCATCGAGTCGATGCTAACGTATGGTGATCCCAGCTGTTACAGAGTAAAATTGCTCTGTAGAGTTTTCTTGCCTGTAATTTTCATGGAAATTGCTAGGCCTTACCTTTGCAAACCCTCAGCCTATCACTTAGTCGCCAAGTGCTTAACCATTTGCACCACCAGGGCTCCGTGTCATCCATAATACAGGGAATACTTCCCAAGTGATGGAACGAGCATTTCAGGTGGGCATTGGAGGAGACTTCCCTTCAAACACTTATTCATTGTAGGTAACTGTACTGATGTCTAATACTGTCTGTCGGGTACTGGGGATGGAGCAGGGAATGAGATGGGAAACATCATTGTCCTCATGGAGTACAAAAGCCAGTGGAGGTTACAGAAATGTGCATACACCTCACAGGTGTATTCAAATAGCAATAACTGGTCTCCAGGTGGTATGATGATGCTTCATTAGACTAGTGGTTAAGGTAGGCTGTTGTGAGGTGTTGTTTGAGTTGAATCTTGGAAGCCAAGTGAGCAAAGATGAGCAAAAGCATATTCCAGGCAGCGCAGAGGAAAGTGAGTGTAAAGCCCCAGGACAGAAACAAGCTTGGAGCATGCAGAGAGAAGGCCAGCTGACTGGGAGGCAGTTGGCAGAGAGGGGTGGGGTGTGATGGACATCAGTGATGATCTGTTCTGCATGGGATTTTATTGGTTTTAAAAAGTTTGGAAAACGCTGGGTCATTGGACAAAGAGTTGGAAAAAAGCTGGATTGCAAAAGCGTTTGGAAACCACTCATGTTAAGCAAGTCTCACCATTTTAGGAATAAGGAGTTCTAGGTCCTGGCTCAGTTCTGGGCTTAATTACTTGGAAAGTCATTGGGCTTTTCTGACCCTTGTCCCCACCCCAGTTCCACCCAGTAAGGGGTAAGAGCAACTATAAAGATCACTTCCTAAGAGTGTGTGTGGAGCAGCTAATTGGGGGCTGACCATATCAGTAATGCACCAAGCAGCAGGAGGGAAGAATGCCTTGGGACAGATGGGCCTTGCTCCTTTCTGTAAGTCTGGCTGGGTCACTCTCACTGGGGCTTAGCGAAAACAATTAAGTATGACGTCTAGGCTACAGAGAGAATGCAGGAAATCTAGCAGAAGGTGTCAGTGGATTTTCTGCGAGAGATAAGCTGGGAATTTGGGTCTTAAACTCACATGCTCAAACCATGTCCACACTTGAGAGATGGGAGTGAGGTTGGTTGTAAGAATAAATCAGGTAAAGTGCTGATCATAATTACGTTCTCTTAAAATAAATCACATCAAGACACTTTTTGAAAGGCTACCTGTACTTGTGCTCTGCAGTGTTTGTGAGTGAGGGGAGGGCGAAGAGAGAGCTGCAACATCTTGTAGTTAAGAACTCCCATAACCTTGAGGCTTTGCTTTTGTTCTCTCTCTTCAAGGGCTTAAGGAATAGAGGTACAGAGAAGTTATTAACATGAAACTCCATGAGTCTGCCTTTTGAAAGCTTGGTATAATAAAATAATTACATAAAAGAAGGCAAAGGGACTGCTTTGTGATAGTCTCTCTCAAGTTTTATCAGCTTGGGTCCCGGAAACCACTTAGAGCAGCAACCTTGGTCAGTGATTAGATACGTGAGCCGAGTGCTAGGTGAGCTGCCCAAGAGGCCTGTCCATTAGCGAGCCTCCCGCGATGACACCCGCATGCACCTCACATTTTTTTGTGGACCTCAGGCCCCTGCTCACTCAGAAGACTGAACTATGTTATACAAACTCGGAAGGCTAAACTATGTTATAGAAACTAAAAGAAACTGCTGGCATGGATGGTCTCGCTTAGCTGGGAATATAGAGTTTTCTTTTTCTTTCCCTTTTGAGTGAGATTTGCTCTTCGTTTTTTTCTGTGTATTCACAGTCATTAATCAAAGGCTCCCTTTGTCATCACTTCCTGTAAGTAGAGCTAGAAGCTGGCAAGGCTGGTACCAGTTCTCCAAGCCATCACTGCCATCGCTACTCTATTGTACTTGAGGAGCACTGCTGTGGGCTAAGTATAAGTACTATATTGCTAACTTCAGAGTCGGTGGTTCAAACCCTCCAGCTGCTCCATGGGAGAAACACGAAGCTTTATGCCCCCATATAATTTCACAGCTTTAGAAAACATATATGAGACAGCTATGAATTGGAACCAACTCAATATCACTTAACATCAAACAACAATTAAATTTAACAAGGATCATTGGTGGTGCAGTGATTAAGGGCTTGGCTGCTAACTGAAAGGTCAACAGTTCAAACCCACCAGCTGCTCTGTGGGAGAAAAGAGCTAGGCTCTGCTTTTGTAAAGATTGTGTTGTTGTTAAGATCCATCGAGTCAGTTCCAACCCATAGCGAATCTGTATAGGGTTTCTGAGGAGCTGCTGGTGAATTTGAACCGCCAACCTTGTGGTTCAAACTGACCTGATTGTTGAGTACTTATCCTATAGCCTGGAAACCCTATGGGTGTAGTTCTATTATCCTATAGGGTGGCTAGGAGTCAGAATCAACTCAATGGCACACAGCAACAACACTAAAGGAATAAACAGTGAGTTCTTTGAGAGGAAATGGGCACAGAGGAGGGACCTCAGAAACCCACTAGAGTTTGATGGTACAGTCAGCATCTCCTAAATTGCCAAGTTTCCAATGTTCCCATGATGTTTCAATCCGCCACATATTTTGATCCTATTTTGCCAAATTCTCCCCCCCATCCTCCCTTTATCTGAAATCCTCCCACCCCACCTTCAACACCTCGCATAGAGCTTTAAACCACAACAGTCCAGGATTTTCCTCCTTTCTGGGGATTTCAGGTTCTGGTGAATTAATTACCCAGCATTTCTCAAGGGAATGGACCCCACCTTCCCCTGCTAGGCGGAAGCTCCCCAATCCTGCTCACCCGTGTGATCTGGATGTTGTTCAGCTGCTGCTGCCAGTGGAGAATCGTCTCCATCCGATAAACCCACATGTTGATATTCCCGACCAGCACTGACTTGCCAACTCTTTGGACCAGTGTACATAAGGACGTGTAGAGAGTCTGGAGAAGTTCTCTGATGAGCCTAATGTTTTGCTGGTCTTCAAGGACTAGAGCAGGAAGCAAAACAAAACAAAAAGCTATGATACCGGAACACGCTGTATTTTATAAGTGGGCTTTTCTTCTCCTTTCTGCTTGTGTTACCTGGGCTCTGCCTCTGGGGACATGGTTTTCTTTCTCTCAGGTGTATGTTCTACACTTGGCTGAGCTCCTGCAGTTGAAGTGAAGGGTTGGAGTTTCCATGATCTAAGCCTCGCTTTGTTCTCCTTTCCCCAGTTTTCTATAAAGCCTTGGATCTGTTTTCATTGCCCTGCCTAAACCTATGGCTCACCTGATCTGAGAGTAGTTTTTTTTGCCCAACTGTGAATGGGGAAGGAGGAAGGAGCACCCCTGGGAGCCAGGAGACTGGGCTTTTGTCCTGCCTGTGCAACTATGTGTGTGATCATGGGCTGACCACTTCATCTCCCAGTATGTATAATGACTTGGTTGAACCAGACACACAAGATTTTTTCTAGTTCAAATAATTTATAAATCTATTCTGCCTTCTCCATAGCTTGATTTTCAAGGAATTCAGGATCCTGGGGCTCAGAAGCCAAGGTTGGGATGTGTGCCTACTGTGAGAAGCAGGAGCAGATGGGAGATCCCAGAGCAAGGAGAGGAGGGTAGTGATCTCACCCCCTACTATGGGCATGGGCTGCATGCTTTTCTGATCTGGAATCTCGCACCCCTGAAATGCATCTGACTCAATTCCTTCCCATCCTTTTACATTTCTTTAAATCCACGCCCCACCCCAATACCTATAAAAAGAGGTGAGAAAGTGCAAGATAGTTTACCTTTCAGTACCACTTTTTCCAAAATGTTCATAAAGTTCTTTTGGGCGATGCCACTCAGGGATGTGAGCTGTGATTTGGCTATCAGTTCTAACAGCTGTGGATAAAAATAGAAATTTCCAGGCTTAGAATACAGAGATACTTTTCTCCTCTAATCTTCACTTTTGAGTCACATGATGTGGAGATATAGACTGACGGGGGTGGGGTGGGGGTTTGTACATGGCAGGCAGAGCCCTGGTGCAATAAAAAGCAGATGCTCAGACTGAAAGACAAACGGACACAATTCAAAACCCAGGAACCAGGCTGAGTGTTGCATGCCTCTTTTTTTTTAATATAAAGGGCTTTGGCTTCAGCCAAACATTCTACTTGTCTTATTTCAGCAAGTGGAATTGACATCCTCTGAAGGGAACCAAACCTCCCGAGACCTTTGAAATGTTTGCCTTCTGCATAATCATCCCCAGCGGGAAATCTTCTGCCCCCACATGAACTTGGTTTCCATTGGCACTGCCTGTTCTCAAGGCACCTAACAGCTCAAATTCAGCAGTGATGTGCACTGCCCAAGAAGTGAAATCTTTTTAATCCAGAGAACACCCACTTATGCAGCAGGCAGTAAAAATGTCTACTAATTAGAATCTCTTGTCACACAACTTTTTGGAGAAAGGAAGCGAGAGAACCTTCAGGGAAGTATGCTATATATGGAGTCCCTGAGTGGTGCAACTGTCTAAGCAATCAGCTGCTAACCAGAAGGTTGGAGGTTTGCGTCCACCCAAAGATGCCTTGGAAGAAAGAGGCCTCACAATCCACATGGAAAAAAAATCAGCCATTGAAAATCCCGTGGAGCACAGCTCACCTCTCCTCTGACACATATGAGTTGTAGTTGGCCAAATTGATAATTGTTTTGTTTTATAGTATTTATAGCTTTGGTAGCGTAATAGTTACAAATTGGGCTGCGAACCGCAAGGTCAGCAGTTCGAAACTACCAGCTGTTCCTCAGGAGAAAGATGAGGCTTTCTGCTCCCATAAAGATTTACAGCCTTTTAAACCTTGTACAGGTTCGCTATGAGTCGGAACCAACCAACTCCACGGCACATAACCACCACCACCATATATATATATATATATATACACACACACATACACACACACACACACACACACGGAGTTCTGATGATGCTGTGGGTTAAGTGTTGGACTGTTAACCTCAAGGTTGGTGGTTCAAACTCACCAGTTGCTCTTTGGAAGAAAGATGAGGCCGATGGCTTCTGTATATATCACAGCCTTGGAAACCCTATGGGAACGGTCTATTCTGTCCTGAAGGGTCACTAGGAGTCGGAATCCACTGGATGGCAGTGAGCTGAGTTTTTTTTTTTTTTTTTAAATACATATTTCTTATTAGAGGCAATGATATTACAGTGGCTAAGAGCTCTGGTTCTTGGAGCTTTTCGTCTTAAGTGCAAGTCTTGGTCTGACTACTTATTAACTCTGTGGCTAAGGGCAAGTTACTACATTTCTTGGGGCTACAATGTGAGCTTTAAATGAGGGATAAATCCTTAGCGTAGTATTTGAACTATTAGTTGCTAAATAAAAGCTGACTTGCTTGTTGTAGTAGTACATCCTTTTCTTACCACCCTTTACCATCCCCAGATGAAAAGAAATAAAGATAAAACATGAAGTTGGTGCCTTCTTAGGTCAATCTTTCTTTCTTCCCTTTTATGACAAAAATCTTTACAGATATGGCAAGATTAAAAAAAAAAATCAAAGATGCTACTGTTGAAAAATAAATCAGTTGGAAGGGGTTTTAGAGATTATCTAGTTCAACCCACTTAACAGTTAAGCAAATTGAGGCTAAAACCTTACCACCCACCCATACCAGCAAAGGGACTCTCAACCATGTCCTCAGTACCAGAAATCAACAGCCACTTCTCATACTTTCAAAGAGTTATTAGACAGAAGAGGTTGCCATAAAGTGAACATCATTACATCAGAACCCACCAGCTCCCAACCATAGTTTATAAAGTTAAATAGCGCTAGAATACCCCGGATCCTCTCCTTTACGTTAACATTTGGATGTCTGCTCCTACAAAACTGTGTAAGGGAGATTCCTCTGTTGATCAGACTCCTGTCCAGCCTGCACTTCCAGGACAATAATCCCTGAATATGACACTGTGTTGAGCGCTGGACCCAAGACTAAGAGAGAATCAACAAAATGAAACAGCTAGAAATTGGGCTAAGAAGAGACTAGATCAAACTCCCAGCAATTAAGAGCACCTCTATGTTCTTGGAATAAGTTAGAAATTTTATCCCCCTGGAGTCTTCTAGGAAGCTGTCTAACAAGTATAGAATTTTAATTTTTGGATAGAATTGTTGAGAATATACACAGAAAAATACGAACACTTTCTAGGGTGCAATTTAGTGGCTTTGATTATATCAGAACTGTTTGCATCCTCGTTTTCCAAATTGTTCCTTCCCCATTGATTACTGCTCTCTCTCCAGCTTCCTATCTAACCTTTAGAGGGGTTGTTGTCAGTTTGAGCCCATACAGATGTTTTTTACTACTTAAGCTAAAACTGTGGTTTGGTAGATAATATTTTTGGTTTAATGTTTAAAGATGGTGAAAGCCAGTTGCTTTTTGGGGTTTAATGAATCTCAATGACTTCAGAAACTTGGAGTAAGTTTACTTTACATTAGAAAAAGGAAACGACAATAAAATGAAACCATATTCCTGCCTGGCTTATATAGCTTTCACACATGTAGGGACCAGGCTACTGTGCTGCTAAGCGCCATCAAATCGGTTCCGACTCATAGTGACCTTGTGACTGTAGCGTTTCCAAGGATCAGCTGGCAGATTTGAACCGCCTGACCAGGAGGAGGTGAGAAAAGGCATAGTCTAGCTAGTATGGTGGGAGGGGGTAAGGGGTCCAAGGTTGTAAGTCAGGTGCTGTCTAGGTGCCCGCTAAGACAGGCAAGAAGTCAAAACATCAGAGTCCTTGTTCACAGGCAGTGACTACATGGCATGCCCTCTCTCCCTGTTTGGGTCAGCTCTGCCAACGCCAGCACATGACAGTCAGGAGAGGAGGGAGAAAAGGACTGGCCAAACCTTCCATCTATTCTCTACCAGCAGTGAGATTTAGGAGGCTGAGCAGAGTGGCTATTAATACCCTGAGCCTCTCATGACCAGTACAAAGCAAGATGAAAAAAAACAAAGCCTCCATCGGCTTTCACCGTTCCAGGTGACTCATCCGTGGATGGGAGATGGGTCAAAAGGGAGGGGTGGGGGGGTCAGATAAAAATCCTTCCCTAACCCAGAGTCCATGTGACCACCATCATACGAGGGTGTCTGTTTTAATCTTGTCTATAAATGCATCAATCACAAGGTTGGAAAAACTTTCATGGCTGGTGACCATGTATTTGAGAGGACAAAAGAATCCTTTGGTCTGAATGGAGGTGACCTGTGACTAAGAAGGAAGACGAGGACAGGGAGTAGAAAGATGAAGAATAGACAGCAACAATTTGTCAGTTCATGGCAGAATGACATGCCAACTGCCCCGTGTTTAACTCTACCACAAGGGAGCCCTTCTTTTCACTGCTAGGCAGTGGTGGTGTCAGGAGTAAGAACCCTGGAATATCAGAAGACCTGGGGTCTCTAGCTGGGTGGTTGTGACAACTGTCATTCATCTACCAATAGTCCCTCTGCTCCAGCTTGTGGTAGGTGATGGGGATGATGAGTCATGGAGCTCACTCTGAGTCTAGTCTGTGGTATGTGTTGAACTTGTTGGAATCCTAGTTTCTTCATCTCTAAAATGGAAATAAGAAGACTTTACCGACTTGTGACGAGAGTGAAATGAATAACCACATAAATATCTGTAAATGTCAATGAGAAAGGTCTGCAGTGGATCTGAATCAGCCATTGAACACCCTACGGAGCAGTTTTACTCATGCAGTCATCATGGATTGAAATTGATTTGATGGCCATTGGTGGTATTACTGTGTTACAATAAAACTTTATTTACAAAAACACGTAGAAGGCCTCGGGGCCATAATTAGCCAACCTCTGGTCTAAATCATAGAGTGTAAGAGTACCAGACTGTCTCTGTTTTCCCATCTGTAAAATATGCATAATCATAATTCACAGTTGTCAATATTAAATGTGTTTGTAAAGCACTCATCACAGTGTCTGGTACAAAGAATCTACTCACCAAGTTATTTACAACACGGGAGCATTCTTAGGTAAAATGATTGCATGCAAAGAATGGTGAATTTCCAAAAAAAAAACCCAAACACATTGCCATGAAGTCAATTTCAACTCACAGCTGCTCTGTAGGACACAGTGGAGCTGCCCCAGAGGATCACCAAAACTGTCCCCTTTATGGAAGCATATTGCCACATCTTTCTCCCACAGAGCAGCTGATGGGTTCAGACTGCTGACCTTTTGGTTAACAGTTGAGTGCTTAACTGTTACACCTCCCAGGGCTCCTTTTTAGAGTCACAATGAAGTCTTTCTGTTTTATGTACCTGTGACCAAATGCTTAAGTGATTACAAATTTTAAGAATTCCTTTTTTGTCATTTTTACTGTGTTTGTGATACAATAACTATCTTTTGATAAAAGTGAATGTTGATAATATAATTGCATGAGGTCTAATTTTCCTCTTAAAAATTAAGATCACGTATTGTTAAGCTCTGGGGAAACAGAGTCTGGGAGTTTTTATATGAAAATTACATTGTGACTGGTAATCAACTTTTAAATATTATGGGAGAAATCTACCCAGAAAGTTTAAATAGCATGTTTGTTGTTGTTGCTGTTAAGTGCTGTTGAGTTGGTCCCAACTCATAGTGAACCTGCATAGGGTTTCCAAAGAGCCGCTGATGGATTTGAACTGCCAACCTTGTGGTTAAAACCGACCTTGTGGTCCAGTGTTTATCCTACAGCACCATACCAGCATGTTTGTTGTTGTTGAGTGCCTTTGAGTAGTTCAAACTGACCCTGCGGCCCAGTGCTTTATCCGACAGTGCCACAATTGCTTTGGGTAAACCATTTAGGTCTACTTTCCACATCAGTATAAATCTACGCAATCAGAAGCAGGAAGGACTTTTGTGGA